AACTACACAAAAAGTTCAAAACCAAAATCCTCGACCACACAAACCCCCTAATCCAAGAGACTTTTTCCCGAACAATCCCAAAACTCCACTTCAAATATCCCAATAGTCTAATGGCAGACCCCCCCTGGGAAACACCCACTTTAAGAAAAAAAAAACCGGCTTAATGAAAAACAAAATTTAAACACATTAAAGATAAATAAGGCCAATTTCCAGGCCAATAAAGCCAGTTTCTTCCAAACTACCCAAAACTTATCTCTTCTTTATCAGTGGATTTTTTTTTCTCATTTACTAATCTCAGGCAAATAATCCCCTACCTCACCCAGGCTTACTCATAGGTCAGCACTAAAGACTAAAAGCCTTAACTGGCTAAGTCTAAAAAAACTTTCAACGCACGGCCTACTGAAGCTCTCGAGTGGACAAACCGCCCTCTCGAGATAAAAAAAAACCCTAGGAATAATTTATATGGCAATACAACGTTTGCCGGGTCAGATAGTAGTCTATAGTGTTTGATAACTCTAAATAATGCTATGCTCCATTAGGTCATATTAGTCCACTGGCGCATGTTGTTAAGTCCAGAGTTGCGTCTTCTTTCTGGTCCCTTCCTGCAATTGATTTTGCCCTCGATGCTAACTCAGAGCATTTTTTTCAGTTTCTCATAATGTGGCCAAATAATTGAATTAATTTCTTTTACGAGATCCATAAGCTCTGTTGTCTTGTTCGTCCTCCGCAATACTGCCGCATTTGTCGTAAGTATTCCTTATGTATGATATTCTAATCAGAGTGCGTAGCGAGCATCATAATAATTTTTGCACTTTATGAAATATTGTTACGTGCTTTTTCGATGCGTGTTCTTCTCTAGCGAGTGGTCCCAAGCTTCATCAAGATTATTTCTAAAGTAAGTTAAGTTTCTTCCGTTCTGCAGCTCTCTTCCGTTGACAGTAATTTCGACTTTTCCGTTCTAGTGTTTGCTGATAACCATTGTTTTTTTTTCTTTGCTTGTTTAGCTTTATTCCAAATTCCCTACATGCTGTCGTTACTCGGCCCATTAGGAGCTGTGGTGCTTCAGCATTATCTGCCAGGATAAATATGTCGTCAGCGTAATTTATAATTATTCATTCCGAGGTGTCTTCTAAAGCGTCCCTAAGGAAAGAGAAATGAAGGAGATTTTTTTAAATATCTAATAGTAATAAAAAAACAAGAAAACATTTGTTCTGTTAACTGTTCCGTTCCGAACGATTGAATGGACAGTGACCGAGCCCTGGTGTGCACCACATGCACTAGCGAAGTGTGCCTACCCTAGAACGATAAATTCCAAAGAACCAAAAATATTCGAACTTTATCTATAGTCGAACACATGTGGCCGTGCCGAAATCTTAGTTTGAGTCATTAAATATATCGATTCAAATTAAAGAGCGTTTAAAGTCCACTAACCGAAAATCAAACCATGGCATAAATATTTTGATTGATATCAAACATTTTGGTCCTTCGAGCGGATATCAAACATTTTGGTCTTTCGAGCGGATATCAAACATTTTGGTCCTTCGAGCGGATGTCAAACAATATTCAGTATGACAATACCACAAATGAGGGGAATATCTGGTAGGTAAAATTATAGTAAGAGGAAGTGGATTAGTTGGATTTGTAAATACGTCAATTTGTCGTGTTTTTGGTGATAATAAATATGTCTCGTGTTTTTGGTTAAACTTTTGGTTACGTTCAAACGAATTCGTGCGAAGTGGTTTCATTTGCAGAAAAACTGGCTTGACTTTTTCTAACCTGTACTATCTTACACATTTATCAACAATTTCAACAAAAGTCATATTTGATCCCTATCGAATTGTCGCCAAATCCTTAAAAAAATTGCGTTACTTTTTGCGTAGAATAAATGGATTAATACAGACATTATTTTCGGATCAATCAATTGTACTCTTGTCAATATATCGATCGGTACCTACTTTTAGTACTTTTATCCCCTTCCTATTTTTCATTGAAAAGTCGCCGATCGATAGAATTCAATGTGGCTTCCAAACAAATTGAGACATGAATTACTAGCTTTGTGTATTTATTAATGTCTTTGGCCTGGTCAAATTTCTCCAAGGCTTACGCTCGATGATCAACTGCTGATTACAGTTCGGTTATTGGGCCTAATAAGAGATAATATTGGAAAGTAAGAGTACAGGTCTGTCGGACTTTGGCAATGTTTTAACAATGGGATTCCTACAGCATTTTATCAGCGCTGTTAATTTTTGTTCCAGGCCACAGGGGCGGGTGAAAAAGACATTCTCGCAAAGAGACTCAAAGAAATGGAGAGCGCATTACAGGAAGCTCGAGATGAAAACGGAGAACTGCTCATGGAAATTGGTGAGACATTTTTATTTGGTTTTATATTTATTTGTTTATTTACTAAAAGCGTGCAGAGACAAGCACAGTTATCTATACGCAGGTCCCGGTGCAAGAAAAAAATGTATCTTCACGTTTTTAGTTACTCAATAACAAGTTGGCAGAACAGAAATTTCGTTATTGTGTAGCAAAGACAATATTTTGAATGATTAATTAGTTTTTTTCAAGAAAGTTCAACAATAATAAGGCGTAATTAGCCGAAGAGGCAGAGGAAGCTTCTGCTAAGCATTTTAGGGTGTTCTGAATATTTTGCAAATACAACTTACCTATTTTTTACAAATTAAGTCTATCCTTCGTTATTTTCCATGAGCACACTTTGTGATCACGTTTGTCAGTAAAACTGTCTATTAATTTGAAAAGAGATTCAAATCTCAGCGTAGGAAGATGACTATTCAAATTCAAATTGACTATCAGATTCAAATGACTAGCCTTTCGTCTAGGGACAGATTTTCTCTAGGATAAAACAAATACCCATATTTTCAAGCAGACGTGTCAAAACTTGACGGATTATGTATCTTGTTAGGAGCAGAATATCTAGGAATGGTTTGAAAACTATTTCTAGTCTGAATGATTTTTCCAAAAATTGATTAAAATTTGCTTAAATCATTTTTTGCACTTTGTATAATTATGTTTCCCATTAGCATACAAGTAAGGATCAATAACTTTACATACATCACGTTTCTTTTTCTTTTCTTAGTTTCAGCCTACAAAAAATCTACCAAAAAATATTAAAATATAAATTTGAAAAAATATGGAATTTTCGAGTTCCTGAATTATGAGATTATGTCTCCTGTACTATTAATTTTTTGATATTTCAGAACAAATTCGCGAGACAGCAGATGAAAACAAGCGTATGGCTGATGAAAAGCTACACGAAATTGCTCAACTCGAAACTCAGTTAGAGTCCGTACGTGAGGAGAGCGCCCGCCAAGTCACACGCATTAAAGACCGATGCGAAATCGTGCGAAAATCTACCCAAAATCAGGTCTCGGATCTCGAGCGCCAGTTAGCCCAGACGCGTGCCTGTGCAAAACAAGCGGAAAAAGAGCGTGACGACGTACGGCAAAAGATGCAGTTGCAAATTCGAAATCTCAACGAAAACTTTGAAGACGCTCAAATGCGTATTCGAAATTTGCAGGTGAGTCCTTCATAATCATCATCATCATTTAAGCCCATTATAGCGTCCACTGCCTCCCGCAAACTGGGCCACTCATGCCTATTCTGCGCGACCTGCATCCAGTTAGTTCGGATTCTCCTTAAGTCGACGGTCCATCTGTCGGGGGTCGTCCTCTACTTCGATAGAGCTCGCATTGTGGTCTCCATTCGATTATTTTTCTAGTCCGTCGATCGTCTCTAGTTCTCGCAACGTGACCTGCTCAGTTCCATTTTAAAGAGAATATTTTCTTTACTGCATCCGTAGCTCCTGTCCTGCGCCGTATCTCTCTGTTATGTATTTTTTCCGTATAACTCTGTTTTTTATCCATAACCGTAGGGACCCAGAGCAAAATGACTATCGTCTAATTTTTGGCCTAATTTTGCATTAAAATCGCCAAGAAAGATCGTATACTGTGCTTGGTCTTGTTGTATTGCTTTAGAGATATCTTCGTAAAAGTTGTCGACTTCATCGTCACTGTGAGTTGATGTTGGTACATATACTTGTATAATTATCATTTTGCTTCTTTTATTAATCTCTAGTATTAGATAAATAACCCTTGTTGAGATACTTTCGATTTTTAGTATACTGTTTTTGTGCGTTTTGTTGGTGATAAAGCCTACTCTCCCTTCTAGCATTTCTTCCTTTCCTCTGCAGTGGTTGTCCTTGTAAATGAACAAATGTGAAATTGTGGTGTAGAAGTTATGATGAACAGTTACAAGCTCTCGATTAATAATTCGCAACTTTTTACCCACCTTGACTTGAACAACGCAACTTGAACTGCTCACAAAGTATAGAAAAGAGTTGATTCTGAAAACGAGAAAAATTTGGTGAAAATTGCATTAAAAGTCGATTTTTTTCAGTTTTTTTAAATTTTTTCTACAAATCGTACTGAAACCTGATTTTTTGGAATTTTGAAAATTATGGTATAATAATTAATGAATATAAACAGTTGCATGCTCTGGACTAAAAATGTTTCACTATCACCGAGTGCCACTAACAACTTGAAGTTCTCACAGTTTAAAGAAGAAAACTTGTTTTAAAAACCATGAAAATTTGATGAAAATTGCACTGTAACCAATTTTTTAAAGTTGGTCTAAAAATGTACGTTTTCAATCAAATATTTCCTCTGGTTTGAAAATTGATGGCGATCAATCTGGATCAGGTAGCAATTTTTTTACTATATAAAAAAGTTTCATTTTGAACGTGATAAAAAACTTTTCTTGAAATTGTACTAATACTTGATTTTTTGGAACGTTGTAAATTGTGCAAAAATTCGCAACTTTTTACCCAGACCCACCTACAACTTGAAATGCTCACAAGGTATACAAATAAACTGATTCTAAAAACACCAACATTTTGGTTAAAATTGCACTTAAAGTTGATTTTTCAAAGTTGGCCTAAAAATTAACGTTTTCATTCAAGTACCTCCGCTGGTTAAAAAATCATAATTCAACAAGTTGATATTTTTACAGTCTATAGAAAAAGCTACATGCTGAATGTGACATTCTCAAGAAGATGGATTTTTCGACCACTCTTTCGTATGGCAATTTTCGAAATCGACCAAAAAAGTTTGTTTATTCTACAGCCAAACCA